AACCTTTGAGGTCAGAGTATCTTGGATTTTGGCTGAGAGATTAGAAATGGATTTGATAACAAATTAGTGTGTTACTAATATCCCGGCATTGTCTTCTCTTTGTTGCGGGTTTTTGCGCGAGCGAGAAACATGGCAGCGTCAGCCAACGTGGTCCCGGGCCTTCCAGTGGAATCTCCCGTGATGGACAGTTAGAAACAGGCAAAACAGATACTTGCTGCTGACCTAAAAGACACCAATTCAGTGGGGAAGCTGTTGATCTCAACTGTTTAAACCTCAGCACTGTTCCCAATCTGGCACAGAATTAATCCCTTAAGAAAGGGATGAAAAAAATGCCATTCAGCACAACATAGTTTGTCATCGCATGCATAATGCAGACTTTCCAATTAGAATGCTACAATTTGGAAACTTTCTTCACAGACTGATGAGAGAGCAATTATTTTAAAGAAGGGAAAACTCAGTCCACTGGGTTTGCCTCAAGTCACTTCTGACTCAAGCCGCAAAGACAAGAGTTTTGAAAACATATTCACTATTGAATTTTGTATCAAAACACCAGCAAGGAGAGCAATTAGTTGCTGTAAACTGAACCCCGGTAATCAATGGTATGCAGCCAGCCACAGCATTTATGGAAGATGTAAGCAAAATCACATCTGCTAATCAATTAAAAAAAGCCCAGCACTTCACTGCTTTTAAGAGAACTCCACAATGAGACTGAAGGAAGATGGAGGAGACAACGTTTAATATCACCGGTCGTTTCATGCGGTGCTCGTTAGGGAGAGGGGTTTGTGGCAACAGCCAAGTAAGACCTGATCTGCATCAATAGATCCTGGCCAGTGGCTTCCTTTATCCAGCCCCTTCTGGAAATGGCTTCTGATGTCTGGGTGGAGGTGTGTTAGATGTAGGGGGATGTGTTTAAGGAGCGCCTCTCCAATAAGGTCAGAGGGAGTGTGTCTGTCCTGAGCGAGCTCCCTGAGTAAACGTTCCTCAGCAGATTACAAATCAGAAGTACCTCTGTTGTTGTAGGTACACAGACATGGGAACAGACTGCTGGCAAGGGAAGAAATGAGGGAGTTGGTGGGTTTTTCAGTTGTGCCTTATTTGAACAGAATTCCTCTCCGTGGAAAAAGAGAGTGAGCCAATTTTTCCTTTAGTGTCCTTAGTCTGTGCTTGCTTTTCTTCAGTTGAATCAACAAAGGGATTTTCATTCCTGGCTAAGCCTAAAGTCCAAGCAAATATTCATCCAGGCACATGAATTAGAATCTCTCTTAAAAACTCCAAAGTGTAGGTGGCTTGATCACCTGAGATCCATCAGTGTCCCTTTTCCACTCAGGAGACACCATGACCCCACATTTCCAGCCCCCAGGGACTCTTAATAGAGGAATAGAAAGGCGATGTCTCAACCACTGTGTGCGTTTGGCTGCTGGTCAGAGAAAAGCATTTAGGCCAGGAGAAAGTATTGAAGTAAAGATCGATAGACTGAGCTAATAAAAATTAATATCTTCAGCATGTAAACTATGATAGGCAGTAGATTAATATCCTTCAAATATAGAGGGCATCTTGTAAGTCATTAACATAAGGATAAATATAAGTAGAAAATGGGTAAAGTGTTCAAGTTCAATGATAAATAAAAAGCTGCAAATTAATGACATAGATTTCATCTATCAAATTGTCAGTATTTTTGGGCGCCTGGGTGGCTCAGTTGGTTAAGCAACTGCCTTCGGCTCAGGTCATGATCCTGGAGTCCCTGGATCGAGTCCCGCATTGGGCTCCCTGCTCGGCAGGGAGTCTGCTTCTCCCTCTGGCCCTCCCCCCTCTCATGTGCTCTCTCTCAAATAAATAAATAAAATCTTTAAAAAAAAAATTGTCAGTATTTTTAGACATAATACACAATATCGGCAATGACACACAGAAGCAGGCATTTGTTATATATACATGGCTGGTAATGTGAGTATAAACTAGTACAGACTTCTGTTTGGGGGAGGGGAGAGGTGTGTAGCCTTTTGTAATACGTATCAAGGCCTCACCTACTCTGCCCCAGGAGTTTCACTTACAGAAACTTTACAGGCAGTGGTCATAGATTTAGCATAAGAACGTTTCATCACAGAGTTTTCCTAGCAATGTAATATTACCAACTACCTAACTGTCCAATAATAAGAGACTGATTAAATAAATCGTAGGACATCCATAAGGTGAAATTCTGTGAAGCCAGTACATACGATGAGAAAGCAAATTTGATAGATACAAAAGAAAGGTGTTCATAATAAATCATTAAGCGAAAGAAACAAGTTCCAAATAATTTGCACAGACTGTATGTGTTTACAGAATTACTAGAATCATAGGTGATCTTCATTTTAAAATAAAAATCTGTCTTGAAACAAGTTGGAGGACTTTATAGAAAAAGCTACTAAGGGACAAAATATGCACTACTTTAAAAATTCTTTTAATATCCTCTCACTCCAGGAATTTCTACTAGAGCATTTGTGATACTTACTTATAATTGGTCTTCCTTTTTATCTTCTTCATATCCCATCTCCTCAGGGCAGTCTTTTTCCATGAAATATTTTGAGATCTGGTTAGATTCAATCCCAAAAGGGCCTGATTATTTTCCTTTGGATACACTGGTAGAAACACTAATTCATGATTATCCAGAAGGATAGGGATTATGATAAACCTGGCTCTCCACAAATAATCCAAAATCCCATTGGGGAGATAGCCTCAGCATTGTTTCCCAAAAAGCCTGTCATACCAGCGTTGTTAAGTAAAGAGAATGATTAATTAATTTGAAGATTTGTTTTCTTGTTTTTAATCTACTCTGGCAGAGTTGTAAATTATTTCAGTCCAGAACATGTTTGAAACATACACTATGAACAGAATCCTTATGTTTGGAGTAGAATTTTTTTTTTATGAGAAGATCAACAGTCTTTCTATAATTTTTATAAGAGCTAGACAAACATAGAAATAAAAATTACACTTTTAAAAGTTACTCAACATAAATGTAAATTAACAGGCTAACTGCATAAAAGTTCTAAGAAACTAGAATAATATTCGAGGAAATGACCAATGAGGGAAATGATTCACTTTCTTATCAGGCAAGCTGGTATAATCTGAGAGCAGAATTATTAGACACCTAAAAACAATAGGGTGGGACCCTGTCTGATTCATTCAGAGTACTTTGAGAGATTAAATACCCAGGCGAATTGAGGGGACTACTCGGGTGAATTAAGGTGGAATGTGTTTCTGCTTTACTTAAAAGATGAATTCCAAAATATTAGGGAGTGTGGGTTTCGTCATTGATAGCAAACGAAATTACACTTGAGAACAAGGAACAAAAGGTAAGGGGAACACAGTGTCATTTCTAATCTCCACTAACAGCGTTATCGGTGACACTAAACTGAGCTTGTGCAAAGGGTTTTTACTGATTATCATTGCAAGATCAAGGGCAAATAATATGAACTACTTTTGTAGAGTGATAGTTCGTGGATTGTAAATTGGGACCCAGGTCCATAAATGGGGAGTAAAGGAAGCACTCAGCAAAGGGATGATAGAAATGGGCTTTGGCCAGGACACCAGGTTCGAACCCTCTATCTGCCAGCACTGTTTCAGCATAGACATGTTACTTAACAGCTGTAAGCCTTACTCTCACCATCTGCAATTTGATGAGAATAATAATGCTTGCTAAGGGGATTTTGGAAGCCCTTAATAAGATAAATTATATAGAGCACCTAACATAGGGCCTGGTACACAGTATAAGCATTAAAGAAATGTTGGCCACTGTGATAGTAATAATCATCATTATTACTGTTGTTACAAATAAATATTCATTGAATGTAGGCTTGGTGAGACACCATACTGAGTATGTGGGTATAGAAGGATCAGTAAGACATAGGCACTGCCTTCGGAGAGCTCACTGTCTGTTCTGGCCATTGGAGGAAGCAAATGTGCATGACCGAATGTAAAACAATAGATAGATATTCTGTATGAGAAGGACTTTTGAGACTGAAATCATAATTCTTTGTTTTTTCTTTTTGAGGCTGAATCAGAGAACAATGGCCTCTCATTTCCTGCCACTGTGGCACTTTCAGAAGCAAAATGCTGGACTGTTGTCTAATCCTGTATTACAATACTTAGATTCTTTTCTCTTATTCTTTTTTTTTTTTTTAATTGAGGAGTAACACACATACAGGGCACAAATCAACTGGATATTTACTGTGTGCATACCCATGAACTACCACTTGGTCAGAATCAGTACACTTCCAGCATCCTGCAAGGTTCCCTCATCCCCTTTCGCAAGCATTACCTCTCCCAGAGGTAACCACTGTTCTGATTCCTGTCACCAGTGATGAATTTTGTCTCTTTTGAGCTTCATGTAAATGGAATCACATAGTCAATGCTCAGGTTCTTATCTGAGCTAAAAAGGAGATATGAGGAACAGAACCCAAGTAATCTCTAAATAATAAGAAAGTTTTACTAACGAATATATGTTTGTTTGTATCTTCAAATCAGATCATTGTACCACAGCTATGCAAGAAGTCTGCTAAGAATGAGAGGGAATCTAAAACATGATAATTGAGGTCATTGGGGCATACTAGTTATTATCAGTCAGGAAGCACAGAATCCCCCCATGAACACTAGTCTCAAGCATATTACCTTTGGTCAGCCCAGCCAACTGGAGATCAATCAGGAGGGAGGATTTGGGGACATCTTCTCACGGATAAGCCAACCCGAAGAGCATCGCCACTCAGGGGACAAGGGCTGCCTGAGATTGGGTGACTGGTGAAAGAAGTTCCTAAAGAGACATGGCTTTCATTGCACACTGACTCCACCTCCTGTCACCAGACTTTTGCCGGGGATTCACTTCTTTTCTCCAGCCTGGAAGCACTGGGGGCGGGGCGGGGTGGGGGGGAAGGAGGGCTAAAGTAGACATGGATTTCCTTATGCCAACAGCATTAGGAAAGAGCCAGTTAGAACATTCACAGCATTCTTACGTATTTTCCTTTGTTCAGGTTACTACTTTGGGACTGCGATGATCGAAGCTACAGCTACTATGTTGAGGTCTCCACCAACCAGCAACAGTGGACCATGGTGGCCGACAGAACTAAAGTCTCCTGCAAGTAAGTTTTGTCTTTTCACAGAATTGTTTCCAATTTAAAAGACAGTCTTTCTGATGGATTCAGAAGGTTCTAATGAAGATTCATGGAATCACCAAATTAGATTCTTAGTTGGTGGTTGAAAACATACTGATGATCCTTTACTTCAGTTTTGACTATTAAGTACTTTGATGAGAATTTATTTTTTTTATGTGATCAAACAAGCTTTCCTTGTTTGGTTGTTTGAACTTGACTCTTGGAAATGACATGTCCCCGAGCAGGGAAAAGAAGGATTTCCATTTGCAGTCCTCTCTTGGGTCCCCACCCCTGATACCACACACTACCCCTTTAGAACTGTTTTCTTCCTTACAGAATTTTGCCAATGCAATACACACTTTAGTACTTATTCTGGGACTCCGTTCCCCACCCTCATGTCATTCCCAGGGTTACCTTTAAATATTTCTCTCATCTCAGTGCCAGCTACACTGTTACCTAAACGAAAGAAAGCTTGGTATCCTAGGCCCCTAGTCATTTAATGCATATGGCTTTGGGGCTCCGTTTGCATTTACATTGTTGTGGGGGGAAGCTAAGAGGAAGGATCCTATGGGTTCTGAACAGCCTGAGATCATGACTACATGTGTATATACCCATATAACTCACTCCGATCAAAATTAGCACATTCCCAGAATCCTAGAATCATACCTTTTCTCAGTCATTACCTAAAAAGAGCTCAGTGCCTTTTTGGGTAGAGCCAGATTCTCTGGGAGGCAAGATAAAGCAAATAGCTGAGATTTCTTTCTTTCTTTTTTTTTTCTTTTTTAAGATTTTATTTATTTATTTGAAAGAGAAACAAAGAGAGAGAAAGAGAGCACAAGTGGGACAGGGGCCTGCAGAGGGAGAGGAAGAAGCAGACTCCCCACTGAGCAGGGAACCTGATGTGGGGCTCAAGCCCAGGGCCCCGGGATCATGACCTGAGCCGAAGGCAGCCACTTAACTGACTGAGCCACCCAGGTGCCTGAAGATTTCTCTTTTTTTATTATTGAAATATGATTCACATACCATATAATTCCCCCTTTTAAATGTACAATCCAGTGGTTTTTAGTGTATTCACAGAGTTGGGCAATCATCCCTACTATCTAATGTTTCAAACATTTTCATCACCCCCAAAAGGAAACCTCCTACCCATTAGCAGTCTTTCCATTTCCTTCCGGTTCCCACAGCCTGGTTATCTCCCTTCTGTTTCTATGGATTTGCATATTCTGGACATTTCCTATACACAGAATCATATGGTATGTGATCTTTTCTTCTGGCTTTTTTTACTTAACATATACTTTTGTCAAGCTTCATTCATGTTGCAGCATGTATCAACACTTCATTCCTTTTTATGGCTGAATAATATTCTATCCTATGGAAAATATACATGTCACATTTTGTTTATCCATTCATCAGTGGATGAACATTGGAACTGTTTGCACTTTTTGGCTAAAATGTGTATTTCTGCTATGAACATTCCGGTGCAAGTCTTTGTATGAACATATATTTTCAGTCCTCTTGAGTATATTCCCGGGAGTAGAATTGCCGGGCCTTATGGTAACTTTGTGTTCAAGTTTTTGAGGAACCGCCAGACTTTTCCGCAGCAGCCGCACCATTTTGCATTCCCACCAGCAATGCAGGAGGGTTCTAATTTCTCCGCATTTTTTCCAATACTTGTTACTGTCTATCTCCTTGTTCACAGCATCTTAATGGGAGTGAAGTGGTGGTTTCGGTTTGCATTTTCCTCACGGCGAATGATGTCGAACATCTTCTTGTGGACTTACTTGGCCAAGATTTCATAACAGCATTAATGATGACTTGTTAATGCAATGTCTGACACCCTGACCATCGTTACGATCGTAATCAGCGTAGAGCACGTTTAATGCTTCCATTGATTAAGGTGACACTTGCTAGACTCAGAACCCACAGGATCCTTCCTCCTAGCTTCCCCCCACAACAACGTAAATGCAAACGGAGCCCAAGAGCCATATGCATTAAATGACTAGAGGCCTAGGATACCAAGCTTTCTTTCGTTTAGGTAATAGTGTAGCTGGCACTGAGATGAGAGAAATATTTAAAGTTAACCCTGGGAATGATATAGACTCAGGCATAACCTGAATCTATAACAGAAAGTGGCCTCAACATTCCGGTGCCTTAACCCAGTAGTTTATTTCTCAGTCATGTAGCAGGGAGTATGGGCGTTCCTGGTTGTCAGGTGGCTCTTCTCCACAGGTGACTGAGGAACCCAGGCATCTTCCTTCTGGTGGCTCTGCCATCATCTGGGGCCTCATCAGCATCATCTGCATCTAGCTGGCAAATGGGGAAAGAACAGAGAAAAGGTACACCTGGTTCTTCTGAACAGCCTTGGCCTGGATGTAGTGACCGTCCCTTCCACTGGCATGCGATTGGGGAGAAGCAGTCATTTACCACACTAGATGCTGGTAGGGCTGGAAACCATAGTTCTGGCTGGGCAGCTACTTCTCAGCGGAGCACACATCTCGTAGCCGTCTCTGCCATTGGATAAGAAAACTAACAATTACTGAGTAACCCGTATTCTATGACTTTGGTGTATTTTGTCTCATTTTGTCCTGAACATAAAACACCTTGTGGAATATTGTCCTCATTTTATAAAAGAGAAAATGGAGGACTCTTTTCATTGTACCACGAAGCCTTACTAAAGAGGGCTAAGCCCAGCTAAATGATGGAAACAGGGAAATGAAATGATTAGCTCATTTTCAAGCACCTAGAACATGTTTTATACAACAGGAAGGCCTTACAGGCCCATGAACAACTGCCCATTTATCTTTTCAGAGCCATTGCTCACTGAGTATACAGCTCACAGGCCAGACCCTCTGCTTCCCCATCTTTTCCACATTTCACTGGTTACCATCACCCATCTTGTCTGTCATTTTATGTGTTATAAATTAGATGCCTCATCTCTTTATGTTCCCCTACTGAAGGTGTGGTACAGTATGGGTTTTTAACAAGAACTGGTTGGCTAACTGCTGACCCAGGTATATATCATAATGGTTTTATTGTCATTTAAATGGTTTTTTCTTGATTCAAAAATGCGTTCACTCATTAGATCCCTCCCAGTACCTTTTTTTTTTTTAATTTATCTATTTCTTTATTTGAGAGAGAGAGCAAGAGAGTACAATCGGGGAAGCAGCAGAGGCAGAGAGAGGAGCAGACTCCCTGCTGAGCAGGGAGCCAGACGCTGGGCTTGATCCCAGGACCCTGAGATCATGACCTAAGCCAAAGGCAGACACTTAACCAACTGAGCCACCCAGGCGCCACCTCCCAGCCACCAGTAGCTTTGTATTAAGTCATCAACATCTTTCCCCCACTTCTTTTTGTATTTTGTTTCCATTAGTTGGTAGATTTAAATAATTTATATGTTTTTAACCTTCTGCATTAACACTTATATGCTACAGCGATACATGTTTTTACAGATTAATAAATAAATAATATATTATAAGAACAAGAATAGTAGCAAGAAGGCAAGAATCAATGGAATCAATGGAACCTAAGAATCAATGGAACTTAAGGTTATGACTTTATGTTTGGAGGCGTAACCTGAATCTATTGTGCCTTTCATTTTTGAGTTAGGTGTTAAGAAATATAGTAGAAGATACTCAGACAATAAAAGAGGAAAGCCTTTCCTTTTTTTTTTTTTTTAAAGATTTTATTTATTTATTTGACAGAGACACAGCTAGAGAGGGAACACAAGCAGGGGGAGTGGGAGAGGGAGAAGCAGGCCTCCCGCAGAGCAGAGAGCCCGATGTGGGGCTCGATCCCAGAACCCTGAGATCATGACCTGAGCCAAAGGCAGACGCTTAACCGACTGAGCCACCCAGGCACCCCAAAGCCTTTCCTTTTTAACTAATATACTCCAGAGCAGTCCTCAAGAGAGGATTCTATTAGCTTCAGAAATTGTAGCCTCCTTTTTTTTGAAATAAAGTATGTGAATCATGTTATAAACGAAATTCTATAGGATCTTTAGAGATCACAGCCATGCCTCTTGATAGCATTCTACCTAGTCAAGAAATCAAAGGACAGATTTTTGCTGTCCTCTGAAAAATAACTAGGGAATGAGATTCCCCAGTGTCTCCTCGTAAGACCCTCTACTCCTGGAGCAGGATATTTTCCTTTATTGCTATGCTAAGTCCTTTCTGCTACAGTTGGAGCTTTGCTTGTTTTACTCTCAGGATAAAGGCTTATTTTCTATCACAGATAACCATGTTTTTGTATACACTGATTTGAGTTTTTTTCCAGCTTATTCAAAAATAACTGATACATAACATTGTGTGAGTTTAGGGTGTACGGTATAATGATATATACAGCAAAGTGATCGCCACAGTAAGTTAGTTAACACATCTGTCACCTCACAGTTTTCTTTCTTGCTATGAGAACTCTTAAGATCTGCTCTCATAGCAACTTTCATATATGCATTTACTGTAGTCACCATGTTGTACATTCCATCCCCAGACCTGATTGATCTTGTAACTGGAACTTTGTGCTTTTTGATCCCCTTCATCCATCCCCCCCGCAACCCTCTGGCAACCACCACCCTTTTCTCTGTTGCCATAAGTTTTTTTTTTTTTTAGGATTACACGTTTAAGTAAGATCGTACAGTATTTGTCTTTCTCTGTGTGACTTTTTTCACTTAGCATAATGCCCTTGCCATTTATCCACGTTGTTGCAAATGTACTAACTGATTTTATAAAATTACTTTTTACCCCTCCTTTTTCACATCATCTAATCCTTTAGCCTTATTCCAAAAGACTTCACCTTCCAATCTTTGATTCCTTTTCTCTACTGTTGAACCCTAAATCTGTGTCAATACAGTAAGAAACCAACATTGGCTTTTTTTATTATAAATGTAAAACATGCATGGAAAAGTAATTTAAGCAATACAGAAAGATATACGTGAAAAGTAAAATTTTGCCTTCCCATCTTCTGCTCCATTCCTCAGAAGTAACTGCTTTTGA